ATGCATCGTCATGTAAACATCTGATATGCAGGATGGTCTTAGGCGACCCCTGTGAAAGGGTCGTTCGACCGCCAAAGGGGTCGCGACCCACAGGCTGAGAACCGCTGCGATAGAGGAAGAGCAGGATGTGCGGTTTGGCTGGTACAGAGTGAGGAGAGGTCTGTGCTGTTGCTGGCTGGCCACAGGCCACAGCCATGCTCAGGGGGTAGGTGACATGGGGCATGGAGAGGACCCGTCCACCGTGTAATCTGAGCCTGGCCTCTTTGGCCTTCTCAGCTTCCCTATAATATATCTCATCTTTTTCTTTTTGCCCTCCTGTGCGGTCTTGACACCGTCACAGTATGTTCCCTCAACCCTGGATACAGTTCAAAAGCCGCTAAAGTCGACAAGAATCTGGGACAGCTAGTCTTGTACCACCCGCCAAAGCTTGGCGCAAACATTCCGAGAGCCAAAAATTACACATACTGAAGTGAGTCTTGTGGGTAAATTCTAGATAAGCCTGCTGGGGCCCTCAGTGAACCCATATGCCCACCAACACCCGGGCCTGAAATTCACAGGCCTCTCCCGGGTAGCGAGCTCGTTCTCTCTTCAGGGAACCTTGCCCCCCACCACATGCCAGGGCCCCCGGTCGATCCTGCCTAAACCCTGCCATGTGTTAAACCCAGGTGGGGCTCAGCTGGCATTGGCCAGGAGATGGAAGGAAACCTGTCCCTGTGAGTAGCCACCCCTGTCTGCCGGGTCTCTAAAGGAAATGGAGGCACAGAGGTCAAAAGCTGCAAATGACCAAGGCTCTTTGCCCCTCCTCCCTCCTACAGAGCCCCTGGTTGAGGTGACCTATGTGGAGTGCTCTTCTGGCCTGGGTTAGAGGGAACCTAGAGCTTAGAGCTAGAGAGGGGTGAACAATCTAATCCAGGATTTCTCAACCTCAGCACTATTGCCAGTTGGGGTCCAGGTAACGCCTTGTGCAGGTGTCTTGTGCAATGTGGGATGTTGGCAGCATCCCTCGCCTCTACCTACCAGAGGCAAGTAAACTCTCCTTTCAGTGTGACAACCAAACGTGTCCCCAGGTATGGCCGAATACAAAACACCTCTGACGAAGAACCATAGGGTCCAATCTTTTCCCTTCTCCTAAGCCAACACATGGGTCTGAGCTGACCACTCTGGTGCGAGGAAGGACTGAAAGCCCCAAGCATTTACCCTGGTGCTTAAAACCAGCTGGCGAACCAGCCTCCGTGGCAGTAATGTGGAAAGAGGCCGGGGGGGAGGGAGAGGCGAGAACAGGGATCCTCTCTCCATAGTCTTCCCCTCATGGAGCCAAACCAGGGGTGGGGGGGCAGGGATGGAGTCGGTCATCGGCATCATGGGGCCAGGTCTCACTCTCTCCCATACTACCATCTCCCAGACACACACACACACACACACACACACACGCACGCACGCACGCACCCCTCTGCCACTCTGTTTTGGCTCTGTTCTCTCCCTGTGAAGACAGGCTTTCTCCAGAGATGAAAGGTAGCTGAGTGCAGGATGAGAAGGTTAATAGTGGGCTGTTCTAGACCAAGAGGTTTACAGGCAGTAACACGAGGTTACGGGTATCAGTGAGGGGCCTGGAGGGGTGTGGAGAGCGGCTACGGCGTTTGGACAGGTTCAAGCCTGGGACTAATGAGAGGGCACGCTGATCCTCTCGTGGCAAGGCCATGTGCAAGTCCCAGCACAATTACAGCCAAAGGCTATAGTTGTAAGCTTGACCTTATGGTCCGAACCTCTGGTCCCATGTGGCTGAGTGATATGGGCTGGGGGAGGTGCAGCAAGTAAACAGAGCTTGATCCGGTGCATGTAACTGAGTACACTGGAAACCCACGAGGACGTTGTGACCATGCCCTTACTTTGCCTCGTGGAAACTGGCTATAAAATAAAGACTCGGCTTGCAGGCCGTGGCGCTGTTTCTCCCTCAGAGAGCAGTGTCCCACCCAGCCTCGGCCTTCTTCTCTTGTCTGTCCTTTCTAAATCCTTCACGGCCCCCTCTCAGGCTCACCCATGGCCGTGCCGGCTCAGCACAGTGGGGTCCAGACTGGAGGTGGCAGTACATGAAGCCACGAGGGACTATGGAGGGGGAAGAGGACGATGTTTGAAGACTCAAGGTCTTCACTGGATTGAAAAGCAGGAAGGAAGAGAGAAGTTGGGAAGTCGTCCACTAAGAGTCTCAACCTTCACCCCAGCTCCACGAATGTCTGTCATGCTGCAGAGACACAGATTCAAACAACCACAGGCTGTTAGCGCTTGAAGGAAACCTAGATACCATTTAGTCCAGTGGTCAGCAAACTGCAGCTCGCGAGCCACACATGGCTCTTTGGCCCCTTGAGTGTGGCTCTTCCACAAAATACCGACTTCTGCACATGGAATACCAACTTCTGCACATGGGCCACGAAGTTTTAATCGCACTGTACATGTGTGCCCGCACGTGGTATTTTGTGGAAGAGCCACACTCAAGGGGCCAAAGAGCTGCATGTGGCTCGTGAGCTGCAGTTTGCCGACGACTTATTTAGTCCCATCGACTCCATGCAGGTTCTTTGATTGATCCATTGGCTTTGGGATTTGGGGATGATATTTACTCACAATCATTCCCTTATGCTTGAAATCAAATGAGAAATAAGATATAAAAGTCAGACAGCTAGAAATCAAGATAGCTTTATAACATGTGAAGCTGATGGGAGGATTTGGTTTAGGATGTATAACAATCGAGCTTCCCAATTCCCCCCTAGAATTAAGCTGATCTCCTTAGCACTGGAAGACTCCCTACCTGGCTCAGAACCTGTCCTGGAAAGTTTACTGCAAAGAGTGGGGGTGAGGGGGGCAGCTCAGGCCTTCTCTGGGGCAGGTGGTTCTCAGAAGGAGGAGTCATGGCACAGGACCATGGCATTCCCCCAATTCCTCAAACACACCAGCCACTCACCCTACACCTGAGAAGGGAGTAGAGAGTACTTTTCTCAAGACGTCAGAAAGGACAGAAGCTTCTACTTAGTAGGGAAGGGAAAGTGCTTGGGGAGAGGGGAGTTCCCCATGACAAGCCACTATTTATTTTTTTAAATATATTTTATTGATTTTTTACAGAGAGGAAGGGAGAGGTATAGAGAGTTAGAAACATCGGTGAGAGAGAAACATCGATCAGCTGCCTCCTGCACACCTCCCACCGGGGATGTGCCTGCAACCAAGGTATATATGCCCTTGACCAGAATCGAACCTGGGACCCTTCAGTCCGCAGGCCGACTCTCTATCCACTGAGCCAAACCAGTCAGGACAAGCCACTATTTATTAAGTGGGAGCTCTGCTCCAGGGTCACACAGCTCTGGGGACAGAATAAGGTTCACTAGACTCCTAATGTGGAGGCTTTACCGTTTTATACTTCTATGTACTCGCAGCAGGTCACATGAATCTCCTACACCAGTGATGGCGAACATATGACACGTGTGTCAGAGGTGACATGCCGACTCATTTTTTTGGTTGATTTTTCTTTGTTAAATGGCATTTAAATATATAAAATAAATATCAAAAATATAAGTCTTTGTTTTACTATGGTTGCAAATATCAAAAAATTTCTATATGTGACACAGCACCAGAGTAAGTTAGGGTTTTTCAAAATGCTGACACGCCGAGCTCAAAAGGTTCGCCATCACTGTCCTACACCATCATTTAAGAGGTCTTCCCATCTCTTCCTCCTCCACCACCACTGCCTCCACCATTTCTATCTTCATCTTACCACCTACACCTACACCTCACCACCTCCATCTACACCTCACCACCTTTGTCTACATCTCATCACCTCCATCTACCCCTCACCACCTCCATCTACATCTCACCACTTCCATCTATTTTTCACCACCTCATCTACACCTCACCACATCCATCTACACCTCACCACCTTTGTCTACATCTCATCACCTCCATCTACCCCACACCACCTCCATCTACACCTCACCACCTCCATCTATACCTCACCACCTTCATCTACACCTCACCACCTCAGTTTATGCCCAATTACCATATTGCCACACCTACCACTTTCACCTCTGCCATTTCCACCATCACTACTACTACTTCCCTTTTTGTTAGCAGGAAGCCAGCACGGACCATGTGGGTGGGGAGGCAGAAGTGAACTAGAAGTTTACTCACAAGGCTCTGGTCTTGAAACGTCTTCAAGTCTTTGAGATCCAGGACCTCTCCAGCTTTTGATCTCCCCTGTTCCCTCAAAAAAGATAACCTTGGAGTATTTAATGAAGATTGTGATAAAGATAAGAAACATAAGTACACATGTTTATACAAACTCATTGATCATGAGTACAGGCTGCCAAACTTCTAAGCCATGTCCCAATCTGATAGGTGCATATTTAGGCACCTACAATGTGGTAAGGTCTACTATTGGCTCCTCAGCAGTTCTCAAATGGAACGATCTACGGGTTAAAGACATTCAAGGAAGTTGTAATTTTGGGTGCCAGCCATCAGGGTTACCTCAATAAGTAAGACCAGACCCAGGCCTCTGCAGGCTCCTGGATAAGCCACCACCTGTCTGTAATAATGGGTGACCCTGGGGTGGGGCTGGATCATCTGTAAGGACTCTTAGACCTCCACCTCTAACATCCCTGCAAGACAGAATCCAAAAAGTATCTGGAATAGAAACTATGCAGGGAGATAAACCAACCCTTCAGAATCCAGGCTGAGACCCAACACTCCCATAAAAAGATCACCAAGTTAAAAAAAATAAATGAATAAAAATAAAATAAAATACCACCAAGTTAAAATCCAAAAAGAAATTTAGAGCAAAGACATCTGCCTATGATCGCGGCCAGCTCTGTTAAGACCCTGCACTACGCCGGTCTGTTAGCCAACAGGCTCACCCTGCAGGACTGTCCCTCCCCCCACCCTGGTCACATGGCTGGCCGCCACGAGCCCACAAGTCAATCTCCTATGCCCCAAATACTGTTCAGCCTAGAAATCACAGTGTGTCCTTCTTGCCATCCAACAGCAACAGAGCGAGGGAGTCTGGCCTTCCGGAGACTTGGGTCGTGGTTCCTGGTGCTAAGACTGTGGAGGTAAGTTTGCATCTCGGAGCTTCAGGGGTAGTGGACAGGTTAGGCACACAAGGGACACGTGCTTCGCAGTGAGAGCGCAGGCTGAGCTCCACGCACAGAGAAGGAAAACACCACGAAAGCTGGGTAAATGCTCCCAATGACCATTGGACATTTGCCTCTCCTTAAAAAAGATGTATTAGTCACCTGGTGCCTTGAGTTTGCTGGTTTGGGACACAAAACATCACGCCACACCAATAGAAATGACAGGAGACTCATTCCCTCCCACACCCTGGTGAGTTAGGTTTTTTTTGGTTCTCCTCTGCTGGAGCTGAGAATCGTTTCTTCTAGGCATGTGCCTTTCTATCGTCTTTGCCAAATGTATGAGACTGGCTGAAATATTTATAAAGTAGGAAAAACCCCTGCGATTTGCCTCTTTCCAGGAAAACTATGGGAAAATAAATCACATCTGTTAATGTAACTGAATCATGGCTGGCCTCCTTTCATTACCCATTTCTGAGGTTAGGTCTTGAATGCAGTACCTGGTTTTGTTACTGGTGGTTTGCTTAGGGTTATTCTGTTTGCTTGCTTTGTCTTTCCTCTCCTGGGGCATGCCTGGAGTGGGGGGTGGGGAAGGGGAAGGTGCAAGTGCAATGTTGGGAGGGTGGCCTTTCTCTAGCTTCTAGTTTAGCTTTTTATTTTTTAAAAAATATACTTTTAAAATGATTTTATTGATTTGTAGAGAGAGAGGAAAGGAGAGGTATAGTGAGATAGAAACATCAATGACTGGAGAATCATTGATCTGCTGTCTCCTGCACGCCCCCTACTGGGGATCGAGCCTGACTGGGAATCAAACTGTGACCTCCTGGATCATAGGTCAACACTAACCTCTTGGTTCCTGGGTCAATGCTCAACTGTTGAGCCACACTGGCCGGGCTCTAGCTTAGCTTTTAAAAACCCAGCATGATCCTATATCAGTGGCTCTCAACCTTCCTAATGCCACGACCCTTTAATACAGCTCCTCATTTTGTGGTGAGCCCCAACCATAAAATTATTTTTGTTGCTGCTTTATAACTGTAATTTTGCTACTGTTATGATTTGTAATGTAAATATCTGATATGCAGGATGTATTTAGGCAACCCCTGTGAAACGGTCGTTCGACCCCCAAAGGGGTCGTGAACCACAGGTTGAGAACTGCTGCCCTATGTCATTCTTGTCAATTCAGTTTATAAAATAACCCCAGATGAGCCCTTTAATGAACTACTTTGGGCTCTCAGAGGGGCTCACTGGGTGCGTTGCTGGGCTAGTCCCATTTTCTTAGAGATAATAAGGTCAAATGGCTTAAAAGATAGGATGGAAGAAAAAGCTCTCAAAAGGCTGATGAACATGGCACGACCTAGTTCATTTTTTTCCAGAGACGCGATGCCTAATCGTGAGGGCTTATTATCTCACTAAGGACATATTATGCCCGTCTTCCCTAGAAATTGAAATATTTGTTCTGCTTCCAGTGTCTATGCAAACATCTGGAACAAAGTGGATTTGTTGGACCACGTCGATGTACCCTGTGGATGGGGGTTGGGGGAGTGTTCAATGGCAGGTGGTTCAGTCACCAGGGTTTTGATGGTCAAAATGTGCTGGCCATCCGTAAGGTTGGCTGTACCTCCATCTCCTTGCTGCAGGGGATGAGAAGGCTGCTGGGCAGGGGCCCCGAGTGTCTGCTTGTGGGTGTGGCACCCAGTCCTTAACCTTACAGTCGGGTTTGGACCCAGGGACCCCAGGTATGATTCCAGGCTGCTGGCAGGGGCAGTAAAGTGGAATGGGGCCCTTAAGTGACTGAGAACAGAAGATAATTTGACCTGATCTCTCCCTGTGAAGCCATGTTTCCCACCAATACCATCTATGATCTAAAGATGGATGGAAAATAACCGGTGGCTAGTTGGACAGTAGAGGGGCTGGTGTAGCTGACACAATTCCTTAGGTAACATTTTACTGTGGATGGTGGTACTGGTGAATACTCTTTGGATACGAGTAACTCAAATCAACTGAAGGTAGCTGAAGAGAAAAGGGGGTATTATAGGGCCATTGGGGGTGTCAGGAATTCAGCTAGGCCTTAGGAAGGGCCTGGAACCCCGAAGTGGGAGGCTTATCCAGACCACCCCTCCTCCCATCTCTCATGTCTTCATTTCTTTCTGTCCTCTTCTTCCTCCCTCCCTTCCTTGGATCCAGGAATCAGGGAGATTCCAATTTTAATCTTGGCTCCACCATGCCTGGCTCTGTGACACAGAAAATATTGCTTAATTCTTAAAATTTTTAATTATTCACAATG